AGAGGGCTGATTCCATCCCCAGCACCATATGACTCTCTAAACACCCTGAGACTGACCCTTCAGCACAGAACTGAGAGTAGGCCCCAGCATCACCATGTGTGGCCAAAAAAACTAACAGAGTGCCCCTAGAAGATATGCAATGATGTAAACCAATGTCACCTCAATTTTAAAACTTCTGTTTTGTTTTGTTTGTTTTGGGGCCACATCCAGTGGAGCTCCTGTCTCTGCTCTCAGGGATTTCAGAGGACCATATGGGATGCCAAGAATTAAACCCAAGTCAGTGGTGTGGAAGGCAAGTGCCCTATCTCCTGTACTATCAGTCATGCCCCTGAATTTTAAAACTTTTTAAATAAGGCAGTTCTAAATAAGCCTCTTTAATATTACAACAGAAATCCAATTCCAGTTGGGAGAAGAAGAGTTTTGCGTCTATAGGATGCTTTTCAGGACCCGTGAGGAAAAACTGTTTTAAATCTCAAGTCAAAAAAGTCACGATTTCCTCTCAAGATAGGAGTTTTTAGTGGGTCAGAGGTCTGTGCGGGCTGACCCCAGAGTTTTACATCAGTGACAAGAAAAATAAAAATAACAAATAACAACAGCCTTGGATCTCAGTCTTTTTTTTTTTTTTGCTTTTTGGGTCACACCCAGCAATGCAGAGGGGTCACTCCTGGCTCTACGCTCAGGAACTGCCCCTGGCAGTGCTCAGGGGACCATATGGGATGCTGGGAATCAAACCCGGGTTGGCCGCGTGCAAGGCAAATACCCTACCCGCTGTGCTATCGCTCCAGCCCCTCAGTCTTCTTTTAAGAGACTGAAAAATAATATAGATCTCTCTCTCTTTTTTCTTTTCTTCCAAAAACAAAGGGTGTGAGGGTGAATAAACAAACCTAGAAAAGAGGTACAGGGATAAGCAAAGGACCAGAATGACGGTCAGGTTCAAGGAATCACGCAGTGGGGGGAAAAGAGTGGAGGGAAGTCTGAGAAAAACCAATCATTTGATCTAATTATCTAGGGCTGTTCATAATTTTTTAAAGAATAGAAAGGGCCGGTTCAACCCCCATCTGGTGAGGCCCCGCGTGTCTCGTCACTGTGGGCCCAAACCAGACTGTCCTGTGGCCTCTGGAGGATGGCGGTCACCAGGCCGCCAGGGGGAGCAGGTCAAGGCACAAAACCTATTCCCACCTGGAGTGGCCCAGTGCCAGTAACCTACTGCAGGAACCGGACGCATTTCTGCCAAAAGCCTTTTGGTTCCAAGATTCCTTTCTGAGTCTCTGGGATCATGGCCATTAAGCAGTTCGATCAGGAACCAGAGAGGCCATGCCTCCAATTATATAGCTGGGCCAGAGGTGGTTTGTGGGTGTGTCTCCCACATACCTAACTTTTGGCTGTTTACTTTCTTGGTAAACTTTGCCCCAAATTTTTGGAGTCTGGCCAAAGGCACAGCAGTAATTTAGGGGTATCTGAAAGTCTGACGGTGCCATAAGGCTGCTGATACAATCGCCTCACAGGTACAGACTGAACCTGCTGGCGGCACCACACCCCTGCCTTGCAGATTTTAAATGAAGCTCAACGTAAGTCAGGACAGTGAGCATCAATACATGAATTTTTCTCATCTCTAACACATACCTGTGTTTGAGGCAAGTGTTTGATGGTGTCTTCAGGCTTCCTGATACCCCAAAATTGCCGCTATGCCTCTGATTGGACCCCAACAACTTGAGAGCAAGTTTCCCCGAGAAATTAAATGGCCAAAAGTTAGGTGGGAGTCACTCCCACAAACCACCTCCGGCTCAGCTATACAAGCTCATTTATCGGCCTTGCTTCAGACCCATAACTAAATCTCGAAAGAAATCAAAATCAGGCCATTTAAGCGCATTAGCGGCCATGAATCAGAGACTAACAAGAATTTCAGGAGAGCAGCATGATGCAGAGAAGTCTTCTCACCCCACCCCGGGCTGATTTCACCATGGTACCTCAAACGGGGCAGCTGTGTTGCTCCACCTGCCCCAGATAAACCCCAGAAGCTGTAAACCTCCAGAACCCAATCACCGTCACACTCACGGCCAACCTTACAGGCTAGTCCCACGCCCCAGACACATGAGAATGAATCCTCTGAAAAACCCAGGTATGCTGGACTAGTGACTGAAAACACCAAGCTTCATGGATTCAGGGAGGGGCAACCTCCTATTTCCCTGCCCTTCTGGTTTCTTGGCAATCACACCCAAGAACTACCTCTGGGCGCCATTTAAGCACTTAATGGCTATGATTCAGACACACAAAAGAATCTTAAAAGAGAGCAATACACCTCAAAGATGGCCCCAGACCACAAATATCTAAAAAATTTTAGAATTCCAGAAGCGTGTAAAGGGTGTTGGGAGGATCCTCCCAGGATGAGAAATGCATGCTGAAAGTAGACTATAGACCGAACATGATTATCACTCAATGCCTCTTTTGCAAACTACAGCACCCAAAAGGAGAGAAAGAACAAAAGGGAATGCCCTGCCACAGAGGTGGGGTGGGATGGGTGGGGGGAATGGGAGGAGGGAGGGATACTGGGATCACTGGTAGTAGAGAATGGGCACTGGTGGAGGGATGGGTACTCGATCATTGTATAACTGAAACCCAAGCACAAAAATGTATAAGTCTACAACTGTACATCATGGTGTTTCACTAATAAAAGTTTTTAAAAATAAATAAATAAATAAAATTTTAAAAAAAAGAATTCCAGAAGCACACAGACATTTTCACAGTGCCATGACATCTCATACTATTCATAACAAGCAATAAAAAATAAATTATTTAGCATCTGCCTATGGGGCAGGCTTGAGTGGTGATGGGAAAATTCGAAATAATGGTGGTGTGAAGGTGTAATGGTGGTGGGATTGTTGCTGAAATGTTGAATTAAACAATTATTGTGAACAACTTTAGGAAAATAAATTTTTTTAAAAAAATTTAAATCTGCAAGGATTTAAAACCCCTGACAGTTGAAGAACCATTCCTATTTTTAAAGTTTTAATTTTAAGTCACCATGACTTACAATTTTACAATATTGTCAATGGTAGGGCTTCATGTATACAACATTCCAACATCAGTCCATCTTCCTCCACCACTGTTTTAGAGTCTCCCTTCAACCTCCCCCCCTGCCCCATGCCATTCTGATTTTTTTCTTGTGCAAAGCACGTAGCACTGTCACTGTCCTCCCTTTGTTCATCGATTTGCTGGAGCGGGCACCAGTAATGTCTCCATTGTGAGACTTGTTACTGTTTTTGGCATATCAAATACACCATGGGGAGTTTACCAGGCTCTGCCGTGCGGACAGGATATTCTCGGTAGCTTGCTGGGCTCTCTGAGAGGGACAGAGGAATAGAACCTGTGATGACTAGGAGTCCCACACTTCAGCAGCGGGACTCACACCCCCTGACTGGGAAGTACCAGAGATAGCAAATTTGTGTTGTGGTGCCAAGATCCCAAATGGGATCCCAAATAGTGGGACCTTGCTCAGCACATGGAGGGAGGCCCCTGGGATAGGACTTGAGATTTTGTGCCCGAGAGGCAGGCTGCTCTATCCCTAAGTCAAATCCCCAGCAGCCCCTCCTGAAAACATATTTGTTACGTTACCACCATTAATCATGGATGAAACCCTCAGACTATTAAGGGGAAAAAATGATTAGTGGTTCTGAACTCCTCATATTCTGTATGTGTTTTCCTACAAAATATATAAGAATATCTATGTTTTTTCTAAACAAGGTAAATAACATCAGTGGAACGATAATATGCCACTGAAATAAAAATTCTCCTGCCCAAAAAAGTTGTTATGAATGCACTTTTTTTTGAGAGCTTAAATTTTTTTGAGAAAAAAGAGGAAACAAAGACTTTTTCCCCTCGGGAGGAGCCTGAATTCTGACTTATTCATTAACTAATTTTATTGATTTGAGATTCTATGATTTACAATACTGTTAGTAAAGACTTCTCATGCACATAATTCCAACACCACACCCATCACTAGTGTACCAAAATCCCTCCCCGAAGGACCACAACACCCCTCTCTTTCAATCTCCAACCACCAACAACAACTTAAATTTTGTGGATTGGTTCTCCCATTATATTGTCATTGGCCCCTTGTTGTTAGCTTACTGTATATCCTTAAGTCCTACATATGCAAGAGGTCTGTGTCTATTGTTTTCTTTGTAAATGACTTCACTCAGAATGATAACATCCATTCACATTGTTGTAAATTAATGAATTTGAATTTTTTTGAGCTGCATAGTATTCCATGGTATACTGTGTGTGTGTATGTGTGTGTGTATGTATCACAACTTTTTAACCTGATTAATTATAGTTAGGCATTTGACTATTGTATTAAGTGTGGGGATGAACATAGATGTGCATATGACCTTCTGAGTAAATGTGTGTGAGTTTCAAGGATAGATGCCAACAGCAATATCACTGGGCCATATGGGAGTTCTAATTCTTACATTTTGAATAGATCTCTATACTGCTTTCCATAAAGGCTAGCCATGTTTTCCCATCAACAAGTATCTCTATTGTTCTCCCTCACACTTATCTAAATTTCTTTCAGTAAAAATTATTTTGCTTCGGTAAAAAAAATTAATAAAATGAATGTTATTTTTTAAGAGGACACAAAATACTAAAATAACATGCCAAACAGTAAAAGAAAAATGTAGCACACCCCTCCCCCTCATAAAGAAGCACAGTACTTATTGTTGCGTGGCTTAAAAGAAATTTAGCTTATTACAAATGATGTTTGTACAATTTTGAATGAATATTTAAATAATTCAATCTGGAATGCTAAACTAACATTTAAAAAAAAAATACCCAGGGGAAAAGGAGGTTATAAAAGTACACAGAATTTCTACCCTAGACACATACTATTTATTACTTGAGCTACAAAATTAACAAGCTACTACAAATTTCTAGATTTTATAGATAAAATCTAACCAAGCATTAGTTACTTACAGAAACTAAATAAGCCCCCAAAGACATACCTCATGTATGGAATTATTCTTCTCCAAAATGGAAAGCGCTACTGCAGCACACTCCAGCGTGGAAAGGCACCAATTGGTCGGCTGTGTCCGAATCACATATTGACTAGAAACACTGGTCTTCAACTGTACCTGAAACCAAAAACAAAGCAACAGGGTGATTCCTGTTTTAATTGTAAAACTCTAAAGCCCTTCCTTCAAATACCAATTAATTTCTTTCCCAAACTGCCAGGTTAGAACTGTCAAATATATCACCATCTTTTATACATGCTACCTCTGTTCATGGTACTGTTAGATGGTATCAAGAGGACAGTTACACATGTATCAGCACATGCTGAAATATTTACAAATTCTTACAAATCAAAAAATAGGCTAGTTACCCTCTCCCAATAGATAAAAAGAGTGAGTAGACACTTCACAGAAAAAGATCTAAGAAGAGCCAATGGTCAATGAATAGGCAAAACAACCAAACTGACTCTCAGACACTGTGCGGAAATAAAATACATGTACCAGAGGGAAAGGTGAAGAGGAGTAGACAGAGAGGGTCATTTAGATGGTGACACAGTGTTAAAACTTCAGCGGTGGGTACAGTGAGTCTTAAGAACTTACAGAGCTGTGAGGCTGCACTCATGAAATTCTATCCAACCTAATCCTAAACCAATAAAATTTGTAGACAAATCCTTGGCCTTGGGTTACAAAACTGATTACTAAGCAGTGGGGAAGCAAGGAAGATAATGAAGATCACACAGAAGTGAATATGGAAGTCTGGAGTGATAGTACAGCAGGTAAGGCTCTTGTCTTGCACGTGGCTAACCCGAGTTCCATCCCCAGCACCCCATATGGTCCCCTGGACTCTGCCAGGAGTGATCCCTGTGCACAGAGTCAGGAAATAAGCCAGTTTATAAGCTGGCCCCAAAACAAAAAAACATTGAAAAATTAAAAACCAGACATTGGATCAAGGAGAAAGGTCTTGGGCACTGTGGTAAAGGTAGAATAACTTAGCACATCACTACCATAAAAATTAACACTATAGGTAAGAGAATAACAGCCAAGGACAGTAGAAACAAGGGTCAGAACAAATGGTCCATGGTTGGAAGCCTGCCTCAAGGGCTGGAGGAGAGGTTAGTTGCGACAGAGAAGGGACCATTATGACAATAATAGTTGGAAAGGATTGCTCCAGATTGGAGACGTGTGCTGCAAGTGGGCAAACAACCAAACATGATTGCCTTTCAGTATCTGTACTGCAAACAAGGCCCAAAAGGAGGAAGGGGGAGGGGGGGGAGGAGAAGGGGTAGGAGGAGGAGGAGGAGCTGCCATAGAGGCAAGCTGGGTGAGGCGGGGGGTGGGTAAGGGGGGAACAGGGGCAGGAGGGATAAAGAGGGACAGTATTGATGGTGGATGGTGACATGGTCATTAAATTTTTAAAAAACTATATACATTTTAAAAATTAACGTTATCTATAGAGCCATAACAATTTCTAAATATTAACTATATTTGTATAAGTTTTTTTTGCAATTGTGGAGCCAACATTAAACATTAGGATCTCTCCTGCAATACTCAGGGAGCCATGTGGCCCAGTGATCAAACCCAGGCTGCACTTAAAAATCACATCCCCAGACCCAAGAGTGTTTATTTTTAGTTAGTTAATCTGATTGCTTCTTTATCTTTACATGCCATGTTTTCGTGAAATCATATGCTGTTTTTCTTTGGTTCATTTCACAATAAAACTTAATGTTACTGCAAAAAGCTTTATTTGCAGTACATGCTCATTGCTGCTTACTGCTGAACAGTACTTGTGATTCTCTATCTTCCATCATTCAGGTGAACACCAACAAGGTCCTAATTAACTCTCATGGATGTTCTTTTCGTTCTTTACGGTACAGAAAAGTAGATAAAACTGCACATGCAATATCAAATAGACATGCATGCAAATATAAGAGTACAATGCTATTTAAGGAACAAGCTGCCATATTGTGGCCCTGAATTACTAACCCTTGTCACTGTAGCAGAGAACTGAGGATATAAATAGCTATTGATTGATGAACATTCTTTTTTTTTTTTTCCCCTTTATTTTATTTTATTTTTTTTAAAGTTGTAGATTTACAATTTTTTGTGCTTTGGTTTCAATTATACAATGATCAGATACCCATCCCTCCACCAGTGCCCATTTTCCACCACCATGGATAATATCCCTCCCACCCCCATCCCCCCATCCCCCCGTCTCTGTGGCAGGGCAATCCCCTGTGTGATGAACATTCTTTTAAAATTCAAACAATAACCATTCTGAGAGCTGTAAAGGTTCCAGAGAAATAAAACACGCATTCTATTTCATGTAGTTGTGCAATTTAATTTTAACTAAGATTACTGTACTTTGGGTATAGTCAACGTGCTGAGATGTTAAATAATGCCGACACTTGGGCTGTTATATTCACTCCGAAGTCTCAATCATTTTGAGACTGAATCTGTACATTTTTTTCTAATTGAATCTTCTTCAAAATCATGTTCAATGTGTCAGCAAAGTCATTCTGTACAACACAACTGAACATGGCTGGGAGATAGCTCAAAGGGCCACGATTTTCATGCATAAGCCAGTGGTTCTATTTCCAGTAACATGTGATCATGTGTTCCTCTAGTACTACTGGGAGTAGTCCCTAAGCATTGCCATTATGGCTCTGAAATTAAAAAAAATTTTTAAAAAAAGAAAAGAAAATCAATGAATCACATGTAACTAATTAAAATCCTTAGCTTGCCACTAAGCAAACCCTTACCTCCCTATCAATACCTTGTCAAAACCCATACTTTCTTTTGTCTGTTTTGGGTCCACACCTGAAAGTACTCAGGGCTTACTCCTGGCTCTACACTCAGGGTTGACTCCTGGAAGGTTCACTGGACCATATGGAGTGCCAGGGATGGCTGGGTTGGCTGCATGCAAGACAAGCACTGACCTGCTATATTGTCACTCTAGTCCTCCCAACTCCATACTTTACCATAATTCACCATTTCTACTAATAACTCTCTCCTCACCTTCCTTTGTACCAGCCAGACTAAGTGTGGAAATTTCTTTACACGACTCTTTGGATAACAACTCCTCCTCCTTCAGTTCTCAAATACTAGGGATCATTGCAAATCCCCATCTCCAATCAAAACACAGTTTTTAGAACACATTTAATACTCACAAAATTTAGCCCTGAACTGGGCCCCAGCACCACAAAAGTCCTAGTTGTCCCTGAGCACCACCAGGTGGGACTTCCACTAGTGGCCAAGTGTAAATACTTACCTTGGGTCCCCCATTATCACTTCTGAGAGTGGTCTCTATAAAAAATACATAGTGCTGCCTATTTCTAGGAATAATAATACTTCCCTGTATTCGATGCAGTTTTAACATTGTTCTCTATAATGCAATTTTTTTAAATATTAAAAAAAAACATCTCAATATTTGCAGTAATTTCTTTTCAGATAGAGAAAAATTCAACCAGAATAAAACTCACTGTTACTAGAATCTACATCAAGGACATAAATAACTTATCTTTCCTAAACACCATGCTGTAATTCAGAGTGACATTTTAAGAGCATAAATCTGTAGGGAAAAAAATTCTGAAGAGAAAACAAATCCCATGCAATTTTTTACACCATATAGTCATATAAGGAAAGCAGATGTGACCAAACCCTTTTTCAAAACTATTATAGTAATCCAACATAAACTCAAAATACACATGCATAAAGATTCTATTTAATCATAAATAATGAAGATAACTAAAGCTTCCAAATCATAAACCCCAAAAATACACATAAACTTTTTATCAGTACTATGACTGATCATGTAAGGTACATTTGTATGTCCCTTAGACATTTAACACTTAATTTTTTTAACTTTTAAATAATCAAACTATCTTAATAAGCACAAAATTTATGTTGTATTCCTCTTAAAATGCTTTTAATCTTTTACCCAAATTTCTCATGATAACATATTTACTTTCAGCTACAAGTTCAAAGAGAAATTCTGAAAATGAAGAAGTATCTTACAAAGGATGTTTATAAAATTACTTATAAAGTAAACTTCTACTCAAATAATTTGGAAATTGTTTAATAATAAGCACAAGTTGTTCCTCACGTACAATAACTATAGCAATGTATCATCTAACACTTGTCTTTTGACAACATAAAGGTCAGTTGTAGATTTCATTTGGCATGGAGAACAAGGACCAAGAATTGGTCTTACTAAAGTTTAGATGAAAGATTCTCATCTGAAACTCTGAAATGAAGTGAAATGGATCTAGTGACATATTATGTCTGATATGAAGGCTCAGGAAAGAATGTGACTCCAGCGACCATCCTCATTAAACAAAGATTAAATAATTTTTTTAGTGGTTTTCACTTTGGGTGTTCATCAGTCTTTTTTAGAAATTAAAAAGTATACAGTAATTATAAAATAATTTCAAGATTTAGAAATTCAATGTTCAAGTGCTCTGTAATGTCACCACCCAGAGAATACTTTAGTAGATGGAATGTACTCTTCCAACACATTTATTAAATTTGGGGGATTTTTTTTATTATGGTAAAATTAACACACAACATTTCAGGTATATAAGAATTTTGTATTTGCACATACTAGAAAATAATATCCATGACAAGTCTAGTTAACATCCACAACCATACCATTACATTTTCTTCTTATGTTGATCATTTTCAAGACATACACTTAGCAATCGACAAATATCAATACATATTATTAAAGTCATTATTATACTAACCATGTTGTATATTGACACATAACTGATTTCACAACTGGAATTTTGTACTCTGGATCCCCTTCACCCATTTTACCTACCAAAGCCTCCTCAGGCAACCAGTAGTCTGTACTCCCTATATATCACCCTGATATTTTTTCACAGTCCACAGAGAAGTGAGAGCATTCAACATATAAATTTTTCTGACTTATTTCATTGATCATCGTACCCTTGAGGCCCATTCGTGTTGTCACAAATAACAGGACTTCAGTTTTTTCATGGCTTAACAATAGGCTATTCTATTGCATACACATAACACAACCTCCTCATCTCTCCATCCACTGAGACATTTAGGTTGTGTCCTCACTACTGCAAACAATGCTGACATGTAAAAGAAGATGCAGA